GTTTTCCAAAAAAAATTATTTGGCCTCTTTGTTTATGTTTTTTTTTTTTTTGGAGAGATTTTTGCTATAGGGCATGTGTGCTCACCAGAGAGACAGAGAGACAAAGTGAGAAATCAGCCTCTGAGGGAATGGCTATGACCCAATCCCTTCTCCTCCATTGTCCTCTCAGGATTTAAGCCACACACACACGCGTGTGCACACACACACGCACACACACACACACAGCATGAGTTTTAATTCGCCAGGTCTGAGACATGAACCACGGTTGACTACTATGTCCAGTGACGTAATCATTACACCACTTGCTGGTCCTTGTCCTCTTGTTTTCAGGTAATAAGCCCGTGTATCCCAGCATATGCATATTTCTTTTCCTTCTTCGTTCTGCCTTTTCTCTCCTCCTCCTTTTCTAAGAGGCTAAATTCAATAGCTGAACTTTTCTGAAAAGGATCAAACGAGATCAGCTCCGGTTTGATGTGATTATTTTTCTTTAGTCCAATTCATTAGAATCATTTCTCAATTGAGTCATATTAGTACAGAGATGGCTGAGTTCTCGAAGGCAGAGGCAGATTCTGCCGACGGAAGGTGAAACATAATCTCAAAATCCATGCTGGCAGACAGAAGCCATTTTCTGTTGCTGATATTTTCAGTCACCAGCTGGCACATGTTGAACAATTTCTCTGTTGCATGGAAGATATTTATTTGTAATAGCCTGGGATAACTAGGACATTAACGCTGTTGTGATTCCTTTTGGCTAATTGGATTGTTGCATTTAATTTAATAGCTATATAAATACAATGATTACTCAGTCACATTTTAGAAAGTAGCTTGAAATGTGTGTATATGTTAGAGATACTTCAAGAGTTGCGATTTATAGGACCTTTTATTCTTACACCCTCTGGGAAAAAATGTATTAAGAAAAGTTGCTGTAAGTATTTGAGTCATTCAGATAAATAAGCAGCAGGCATTATACATGAAGACAGACTATAACTTGACTAATAGTTTCCGTTCTGAGTTTGCTCTACTTTAAGCAGACTACTACAAATCAAAACTGGGTCTCCTTTAAATTTACATCATCCTTGTCCTCAATAATAATATCTTAAAGGGAATTGGTTCCTCTTTTTCTGTTGATGAAGTGAAATGAACTATATGAAGTGCCCAGCATGTAATATATGATCAGGAAACAGTATTAAGTTCATGACGCCAGGAAGACCGTTGCTGTTCAGAAGATGACAGGCTGGGGGCAGCAATTCTTCTTTAGAAAGTTGGTTTATGCCATGATGGTGGATTTTTCTAATTCATGGAGCCACCAACAGGGATCCAAAAAGTGCTGAATGTAATGTTATGAATCACAAATCAGGGGGATGGGGAGATAAAGACTCAGACTGGCTTAAAAATAAAAAAGGGGGAACCAGCAGTTAGCATGATGGCTATGTCGCTGGATTCCCACGTAGTCGACCGTGATTCGTGTCCTGGACCCGGTGGCTTAGAACTCACGCCGGGCGCGTGTGCGTGCGTGCCCAAGATCCCGAGAGGAGAATGGAGGAGAAGGGATTGCAGCGTGACCATCCCCTCTGGAGGGTGATTTCTCACTTTCTGTCTCTATGTCTTTCTCTGTCTTTCAGGAGAGCGCACGCACCCTAAAGTGAAAACATCTCAAAAAAAAAAAAAAGGATTTTAGTGGATCATGTAACTGTATGGCTAGATCCAGGTACTTATACATTATTATTAGGATACAGTCTTTTCTTGGGACATTGTTCTCTGGACAACCTGGATTCTTTATTGGATACTTCTTTATGTCCACATCAGTGAGCTAGCTCTTGTTTCAGTAGCTGATATCGTAAGGTAGAAAAGAATTGCTCTCTGGTGAGTTCACACACCTTCTAGCTTTTTTTTTTTTTTAAGAATTATAACAGAATGTGATCCATGCAATAATAAACAAAATATAACCATAGCTCAGAGGAGGAAGTACAAAATAAATACTGAGAAGAGGTGAATAAGAGAAAAGTTAAAGTTCAAATACTATTTTTCAAAGAGAAATGAGAGTTTTAGACAGGACGGAAAGTGGAAGAAAAACATAATTACTTCAGTTACAGTATTTCAAAGATCTGTATTCTAATTCCAGCCTGCCACTTAGAGACTGTAAACTGTGAAATGTTTCTTAAATGCTTAGGGTCTTTGTTTCCCTGTATGGAAACCAGAAGTGGAATTACTGAGCTCATAGAATTTTCCTGAGGACCACCGAGATGGGAGCACAGAGCCTAGGCAGGGGCAGCCACAGTGAGCACTCTTTCATGGCCACATGACAGCCTTCTTCCTGCTCTAGCTGACCGCTATCACATGGAATTTTGGATCAAGGTTAACGTTGGTCCTGGTAAAATTGGCTAGCATTTATTGAGGACCACATACTGCACTAAGAATTTCACTTAGTTTATCTAAACCCGCCTTGTAACTCTAGATATTAGGGAAGTTACTACCTTAATCTCACAAGTAAAATGAAAGCTTTGACAATGGGAAGGGGTCTTTATTTTTTTTTTTTTTTTTTTGGAGGCTTTCCCTATAGGATGTGTGTGCTCACCAGACAGACAGAGAGAGACAGAGAGAGACAGAGAGACAGAAAGCAAGAAATCACCCCCCAGGGGGATGGTAATCCCTTCTCCTCCATTCTCCTCTTGGGATCTTGGGCACGCACGCACACGCGCCCAGAGTGAGTTTAAGCCACCGGGTCTGGGACGTGAACTGCGGTCGACTATGTGGGAGTCCAGCGACATAGCCATTACGCTAACTGCTGGTCCTGTGAGGGGTCTTCTAAGGTGACAAGTAGTCCTGTAAAGGGCAGTCTGGCTTCAATGCCCAAGAGCTTCTGCATCATACTGCATTTCCTCTTACAAAACATACCATTATTCATCTTCTCTCCCAGTCGACCTGGCTCTGGGTTCTCCTTTTGCACCTCAGCCATGTGCCACCCCACTTCTAAAAGCATGGCTCTGTGATGCTTGCTTATGTGTGTGTTCCGGTGTTGTGTTGTTACTCTAAGCTGAGTCGGCTGGCATTAACGCCTCGGGTCCTGTGCTTCCCTTGCAGGTGAGCCTTCCCGGTGGTCATCCTCACACTGTGATTGCTGCTGCAAGAACGGCAAGGGTGATAAGGAAGGGGAGAGTGGCACATCTTGCAATGACCTCTCCACCTCAAGCTGTGACAGCCAGTCTGAGGCCAGCTCTCCCCAGGAGACAGTCATCTGTGGCCCCGTGACACGTCAGACCAACATCCAGACTCTGGACCGCCCCATCAAGAAAGGCCCAGTCCAGCTGATCCAACAGTCTGAGATGCGGCGGAAAAGCGATCTACTCCGGACTCTGACTTCAGGCTCCAGGGAGTCGAACATGAGCAGCAAAAAAAAATCTGTTAAGGAAAAGCTCTCGATTGAGGAAGAGCTGGAGAAATGCATCCAGGATTTCCTCAAGATCAAAATTCCAGATCGGTTCCCCGAGAGAAAACATCCTTGGCAATCCGAACTTTTACGGAAGTACCATCTATAGGGGAGGGGTGGGGGGTGGGGCAGGAAGAAAACCGAGTCACCATTTTGAAATAAACAAGGGAAATTCATATTTTAAAGGAAAAATGACAACTAATGATACACATTTGTTAGAACACAATAGTCCATTGATATTCTACTGCCTACTTTACCTAGTTCACCTTAACATGTAAATCCACAGGGTAGATTTCTTTCCAGATGTGGAAGTACAAAAACTCTTTTTTCGTTGTTGTCTGTTTGTTAACTTGGTTTCATGCGCTGAATATCATATATAATTAGAGTCAGCTACGGACCAGTAGCTGAGAGGTCTTGGGAGTCCTTTATTTCCAACTGGGTTTTTTCTCTCTCATCTTCTACCTCTCTCCTTTGAACAAGGACATGGTAGAAAGAGATCTGGCCCAATGGATGTGCTTGAATTTTTAAAGTTTCGCTTTTTCCTTTGTTTATGGGGTAAGGGGAGAATGGCAGATTTATATGACTTTTCACTCAAATCTCTACGTGCCAGTTTATACCGACTCCGTATGCATGAGTATTTGTGCAACACAAGCACAACTTAATATGTATATACACACAATGCACGGGACCCAGGGCCGGGGCATCCGACAACCGAGCGCCTGCTCCCACAGCCCTGTCTTAGAGCACTTCAGACAAACGAGCCTTTGCCTCTTTCTTAAAACCCTCCCGGGAAGATTTCCCAGCCTCTTTTGGCAACTCTTTCTAACATCAGATAACCCTCCTCTTCAACAAATTGTCTTCCTTATTTGGAAATTAACACCCTCTGGCTCTTTGACTGGCTTACTCTTTCTCTGCATTAGCAAAGAGTAGGAAGGGCTAGTCAAACGTTCTTTGTGTTAAGAAAACATTCATATCCTCCAAAATTACTACTCAGTGACCCACACTCAGCCTTCTCTACCCTGAGCTAAATTATCACCCTTCTTTCAATGTTTTCAGAGTTTTCCTGTCCACATTTTAATGGTGTGGACTTTCTGCATAACCTTCATTCGATTTTCTGTGTCCCTGTGTCATGGACCTAAGATCGACACACATCACTTGAATTGGGTCTGATATTTTTAGAGGGAATTGTATTCCACACACCTTCTAATAATTTCTCATAACAATTTTAAATTGCAATGCTACATTGTTATGGCCAGTTTTGCTTGCCTGTGAGATTGAAGGTCAGCTCTTCCTAGATGAGGATTTAACTGTCATTTCTGTGATGTCTGTAACAAGCCTACTAGGTAACTGGAGCTCCAAAATTAAGATTTTGGCTTCTAAACTGTCTTTCTTGAGTACACCTTTGACCTGTATAGACACAGCCAAAAGGGCACTGTCAGTAACCGGTCATCCATCCACCTGGTTCTGGATTCTATTAGCATACCAACTGAGCTCTTTTGTAGACTTGTGCTAAATGAAGGTTAAAAGGCCAGTTTTTATTTTCAACATTCGTCTTGAATTTCAGTGGTAACTGAAAAAATAATTTATTAATTATTGTGTGCAAGGCACTCCAAATTATTTCATTATGTGTGTGTGTGTGTGTGTGTGTGTGTGTGTGTGTGTGTTGTATGTGTCTCTCACAGGTGATAAAGGCATCCAAAATAATATATGTAGTAAGGAAAAATGAGCAACTTATTATTTTTGATATCTTTCATTAATGCACATTAATTAAATTATATGAGAGGTTCTTGCCTAGTTTCTGTTAATAGTGCTCATGTGTATATGAATACCTTTCTGAAAGTTTGTAATTCTTGCCTTCACATCTCGGTGACAGTTTAGCAAATTTTTATTGCTGTTGTTGTTGAGAATGAAATATAAAGTTTTGCTTAAATGAAAAAGAAAGTTAATTTTGGGAGTTGAGTTATAAGAGAATTATAATTTATGAATTTTAAGTGGTGTTCTTTTGTTTTATATATTAATATATTAACAGATATTTTAACTACAACATAGCTTTGTTTGTAAAGTCTACCAATATGTCTTTATTCATTTCCATGTTTCTTGATAATATACCAACATTCCTTCATCCTAATAACTGAAGATCGTGCAAAAAAAAAAAAAATCACAGAACTTAATGGATCAAGGAAACGTTGAATTTAGGGAAGATACCCTGAAATTCACTTTGGTCCATTGACAATTGTGGTTACACTGAAAATGCTGTCAAAGAGTTGGAGTCTAACTGAAATGGTCATATTCCTAACTTGCTTACATTTCAGACCTGAAAGTAATGACATCGAGATAGAGATACCCTAGTACCCTAGTAAGTACTAGAGAATTGAGTTGTCAGTCAAACCAGGACTTCTCCTACATTCTTTGAACAGAAGATTAAACACTAGGAAAAAAAGAAAAAAGTTCAAGGTTCTGTTCTGCTAGCCTCTGACCTGTCATGAATGTTTTCTTTTCGAGGACTCTTTGTACCCCCAGTGAACAAGACCAGTAGTAGGAAATCTGTTTAGAATAACAACAACAGCAGCATTTAAAATCTAGGCCAGCTCTAGACCAGCACTCCCCTATGGTTAAGAAGTCCAAAAAGCTGACAACAACATGGTGTTGGTTGGTGTGGGTGCTGGTGTAGGGATGAGTATACATCTGGTCAGTCAGTGGCTCTGAGGAGACTCCAAGTACCTGGAAATCTTCAACCCTAGTTTGAGTGAAGTTCTTGAGAGAGGTCCAGATGGCCTGGATCACTGGAAATGAATTTCGAGTGAGTTACAAGATGATATACAGTACCTCTGGCAGTGACTGTGAATCAGGCCTGTTTCCTTGAAATGCAAATAGTCTTTGGAACTTTCAGTTCAGTTCTAGACAGAATAATATTTGTGATTCACTTCTTGAACATTGGTGATGATGAGGGTCATAAATTGCTGATATGAAAAAGACTAATGGCATCAGATTGGTCGGGTGAATAGGGAATCAGATGTGCAGGACCCCTGACCTAGGCAGCCTTTGGGGAAATCCTGTGATGTTAAAATTCAGTGAGTTTGGGGAAGTCATTCCCTAATGATAGGGGGATCTCCTGAGATCAAAAACATTTATAAAGTCCTGCCACCTACTATTAAAAAGGGAGTGGTCTCTGTTCACCACACGAAAGGGAAGACAGGAAAATAGACCTACTAAATCATTATAGTAGTGTATTCTTCCTTCTGTGAAAACAAAAATTGCACTGAAATGCGGTCATGAAAACAACAAAGCGAAGTGGCTTCCTAAATAGGCAGTGATGTTATCCTTTGTAATTACAGGCACAGTTATCATACTGAAACTGCATACAGTTATCATGCATGGTGAAAGAAAATAAAAGGGGAACAATGCACAAATCATAAGCATCCACTTTGCTTTTTATTCCCCGGTAGTTATGTCTACCCTCTTTTGGGGGGATGTATTTATTAAAGGAGGCTGACATGGAATTTGCTGCATTTTAATTGACCCCGTTTGATTCAGAGGCACCTTTATCCACAGGCACAGACATGTAGCTCAGTGTAGGTCCTCTTAGTTAGCACTGCCTATGTTTCTGAATTACTTTTGCTTCCTTGGGCATTAGATCCCTATCTGAATACCTTTTGTCTGTGCCAAGAGAAACATGCACAGTGAGAAAAAGAAAAGGCAACGATGGTGTTTTGTAAAATTACTTGACACCAGCTCCCACAATGGGAGCCAAAGTTTTATTCTCAGATATTTTCTTTTGCTACATTCTCAACTTTGCAACATTGTATTTAACGATTGTTGGTTAACTCAAGAGCATTTCAGTCCTTGTATTTGCTGTGGCCAGATACCATGCAGTGGATTTGACTAGCCTTCGTTTTCTAGATGATCTTTACCCGAATTAATAAGACTCTTTCTGTGAACTTTCAGGAAGAATTCTTTGTCATCTCCACTTGACATAGCAATTTTCAAAGGAAAAATGAAGGGAATTATTATCCCCCCCTGGTGACTCTGTGGCAGATAAATGTTTTTGCCAATTTGCATGCTGGGTTATAGGTTTAGCGAGGGCCATTTCTCTCTTTAATATCTTAGTATTGTTGGCATCTTGCAATCTTGATGGCCCACTGTTTCAATTTATTCGTTTTCTTTTATATTGTCAAAACAATACACTAGAGATAATCAGAGTGAGCATTCTGTATTCTGAGTTACAATGTCATTTGTACAGGACTGTACAATGATTAATATCTTCAGAGAAATTAGACCAAATGAAACCTGCTGGAATGGGTTTGATTTATATTGCCTTCATCATTCTGGTTTTAGATAAAACGGTTATTGCTCTCCATCCCTGCTGAAAGGAAAGAGTCTTAAACTTTAATAATCACAGTCTTGTGATGCAACCACAATGCTTATTTGTTTGAAATGTTTCTTTTTTCTCATCTTGCCATATACATCAGAATGATGGTTTATTTTCCCCTGTAACCTCCATTGCAAACTTTTAATAATGTTGCCCAAGAATGGGTGTGCACAAAACTCATTTGTAACACATGAAAAAAAAAAAAATAGATTCCTTCACTCTAACTTCAAAGTGTCTGATTCAGAAACCTGAAGTAGGGCCAAAGAATCTGCAGTTTGAGCTAAAATCCTTAATGATTTCAGTACGAATGGTCTCTGGACCTCACCTTGAGAAATTCTATTGTTTAGGAAATCTACATTAAGTCAACATGTTTCTCACTTCCTAGTGGCAATTCCTCACATTCTGTCACTTTCTTCCTACTACAATTAAATAATGCATTATTCATTATGTTAGGAGAGAAAACCCAAAGAAGAATATCCTAGGTCTAATGTGGGACAGGTTTCTAGAATTCCTTTGTCATTCATCTGTCAAAAGTTATCCCTTCCCCACATTGTATATATGTTTGAGGTTTGTTTTTTGTTTTTATTCTGTTTTTATTTTGTTTTCCCAAACTGAATACTGGAATCATTGTAATATTTTACAAAGTTGTTTATTCAATTCTTCCACAAGAGAGACACACACACAGAGGGAGATAGCGCCCCCAACAGACCCTTATCCACAGTCAGCCCAGCTCATGGATAAGCACCCACTGGGCATGCAGAGGAAGGTCTCATGATGGGAACTTCTGAACCTTTCCATGTGGGTCAGCTTCACCACCTGACTCCTTGGGACATGGTAGTTTTACCCCTGGGTAGATGGGAACACATCTTTCAAGAGATGTATCTTAATGACACCCAACAAGGAATAAAAGTAATGATCTTTCCCAAGGAGAGTTATTCATTTTTAGGTCTTTATTCAGTTTGAGTCAGAAGATCTTAAGAGTGACCCATAGTTTAATAATGTGTAGGGCCCCATTAATGACGCACAGAAATACCACCAAAATGAACAATTGAATATTGAGACACTGGACTGCCAAATTTTTCTTAAGCAAAATTCTGATGCTCTCAGAGAATTGGAGATCCTGAACCCCAAATTAACTAGAAACTTGGAGCAAAACCCATATAAAAAAATAAAAGCAAAAGAAAGAGAGAAGACATGATTTCATATGGTCATATAATGACATGAAGGGAAGTGAGGTTCGTCATTTCCCAGACATGCTGACCAGAATAGGTGGCCATACTATGATTATTCAGACAAGTAAAGAAAGAATTAGAGCATTCTAATGCTCTAGCCATATACAGAACAGAGGAACTATTGGGTTGTCAGAAAAGTCATATTTTTTTCTGTTTTTCTATGCAAAAATGCATCATAACTCTTCTGACAACATAATAGATAGATGCCAAATTCCCATTTGTTAAGAGAGCTATAAAATGGATGGTATGGTTATCATGTTCACCTGTGAACATTTAAGTAGATTACTTCCAAAGGAAAGGAAGGAATACTTATTGATACTGATGAACTTGAATAGCTAATTGAGATGATTTGGCCAAGATAAAAACAGATAAAAAGTTAATTTGATTCTGTCTGTTGTCTTCAGTTTTCTGCTTCCAAGTGGAAGCCCTTTGCTGCCTTAGCTTCCTAAACTTTAAAAAATATTTCTCATGTTTGCAAACAAATTATGTTATAATTGGGTAAAATGTCTAAACTGTCATCCTTGCTGTGTGTCGGGAATTTAGTTTTTAAAGCTAAAGAGAAATGTACCCTGCCCATAACTGTCAAGGGCTTTGTCCTGGAGAAGGCTAGGGGTGATTTTCCTGTCCATTAGCCTTGTAAAAGCACTTATATGCCAACTGGAGGATTTAGTGTCTCTTTTCTCTTTTGACTTCCTCCATCTTTTTAATTTATTCTTAGAAATGACCTTTAGCTAATTTACCAGCATTTGCACAATAAATATCAACATAACTTCACATTCTCTTCCTACTGATGTCAAATCCATCTATCATAAATGGAGGCGGAATTTGCACAACAAAGCAGAAGTGAAGAAACACATCTGTGTGTGTGAAAGTGTGCAATGGCCACGTGCAAGTTTTAGTTAATGTCCATGAGAATGCTATCCAACTGCACGGCAAAGGTCTTTGGTTGCAATGTGTACTAGCGCATTAGTTCAGCACAGTATGTCTTCACTGTGCACATCAGTCCTTGACAATGTTGGGAAGAGCTGGTGTCCTGATGTGAAATTCAAACATTATAGATTTTTTGGGGGAAAAAAGTAAACTCATTGGCACTCTTACAGTCAAGAATGGCATCATACTCAG